TCCGTATCGCCAAGCTTGCCTTCCACGCCAAGGAAAGTCCCATCCGGACACGGGACGAAGTCTTCAATCTTGTATCTTCATAGTCTTGGAGTCCGGTCGATGATGATGATAGTCCGGCCGATGATAGTTCGGCCGATGATGGTAGTCCGGCTATCCGGACACCCCCTAATCTGGGACTCCCTCAGAGAGGTTGGGGAAGACTCCGTCCAGCAGCAGCACAACGGCGTGGTGGTGGTGGAGGAGCGTGGCAATCCTGCAGGGCTTCGCCAAGCACCGTGGGAGAGGAGGAGAAAGAGAGGTAGGGCTGCGTCAACAGGAGAAGAACTTCGTGTGTTGGGCTGCCCCTTTGCCTCGACTATATATAGGGTGAGAGGGAGGGCTGCGCCCCCACCTAGGATTCCCTCCCTAGGGGTGGCGGCAGCCCCAATCCCCATCTGGGTGGCGGCCAAGGGGGGGAGAGGGGAAACTTGCCCCCCAAGTAAGGTGGGTGCGCCCCCTCCCCAAACCCTAGGCGCCTTGGGCCCTTGTGGGGGGGGGGGCACCAGCCCACCTGGGGCTGGTCCCCTCCCACACTTGGCCTATGCAGCCCTCTGGGGCCGGTGGCCCCACTTGGTGGACCCCCGGGACCCTCCCGGTGGTCCCGGTACGTTATCGATAACACCCGGAACTTTTCCGGTGACCAAAGCAGGACTTCCCATATATAAATCTTTACCTCCGGACCATTTCGGAACTCCTCGTGACGTCCAGGATCTCATCCGGGACTCCGAACAACATTCGGTAACCACGTATATCTATTCCCTATAACCCTAGCGTCATAGAACCTTAAGTGTGTAGACCCTACGGGTTCGGGAACCATGCGGACATGGCCGAGATGTTCTCCGGTCAATAACCACAGCGGGATCTGGATACCCATGTTGGCTCCCACATGTTCCACGATGATCTCATCGGATGAACCACGATGTCGAGGATTCGATCAATCCCGTATACAATTCCATTTGTCTAGCGGTATTACACTTGCCCGAGATTCGATCGTCGGTATGCCGATACCTTGTTCAATCTCGTTATCGGTAAGTCTCTTTACTCGTTCCGTGACACATCATCCCGTGATCAACCCCTTGGTCACATTGTGCACATTATGATGATGTCCTACCGAGTGGGCCCAGAGATACCTCTCCGTCAACCGGAGTGACAAATCCCAGTCTCGATTCCTGCCAACCCAACAGACACTTTCGGAGATACCCGTAGCGTACCTTTATAGCCACCCAGTTACGTTGTGACATTTGATACACCCAAAGCATTCCTACGGTATCCGGGAGTTGCACAATCTCATGGTCTAAGGAAATGATACTTGACATTATAAAAGCTTTAGCATACGAACTACACGATCTTTGTGCTAGGCTTAGGATTGGGTCTTGTCCATCACATCATTCTCCTAATGATGTGATCCCGTTATCAATGACATCCAATGTCCATGGTCAGGAAACCGTAACCATCTATTGATCAATGAGCTAATCAATTAGAGGCTTACTAGGGATATGGTGTTGTCTATGTATCCACACATGTATCTGAGTTTCCTATCAATACAATTATAGCATGGATAATAAACGATTATCATGAACAAGGAAAAAAATAATAATAACTAATTTATTATTGCCTCTAGGGCATATTTCCAACACTCCCTCCTCCTCGCCTCCCTCTCCGTCCTTCTTTGCTTGTAGAACTAACGCTCGTCGACGATGTCGTGCGGGAAGCGTTCGCACCACACCATGAAGGCTTCCACGTCCGTCTCGGCGATGGCGAGGCGACGCTGCCGCCTCCGGTGGACACGACGATCCTCGTCGCTGAAAAGTCGTGGGAGAGGCGCAAGATCCTGCGCCCGCTGGCTCGACACGTCGGAAAAATTCATCTCCCGACTAGGCCGCTGGAGGCGCCACGCCGCCGCGTCATACGCGTGGGCCGCCTCCTCTGCGATGTCGAAGGTGCCGAGGATGAGGCGTTTCTCGCCAAACAAGATCTCGTAGGAGAAGGCGACGGAGCGGCGCTCGCGAACTCCGCGAAAATCCGAAGCGCCGAGGCGACGCATCGACATGGTGGCGCAGAGGCGCGAGGCTAGTGAGAGGGGGCGAGACGAGTGGGCGGCGGACTGAGTGTGGAGGGAGCCCCTTCTTATAACGAGTGCCGGCTGCGGCGCGCCAAAACAAGCGCGCGAACCTTTACCGCGCTCTGGAGCACCAAAACCAACGCGCGCTAGGCCAATTTTTTCCCACCTGCGCGAACCTTTCCCGTGCGCTGGAGCGCCAAAACCAGAGCGATGACATGGCCGATGGCATGATCTAAAGCGCGCGCGGTCATGAAATGGATCGGCGCGTTGGACGCACTACCGACCCAAATCTAAAAGAGGACGGACGCCGGACGGGCGGCTGACCCATACGAATAAAAAGCGGACAAAAGCGCTGTCTATTTTGATCAGTCCGTTGGTGTTGCTCTTACGATACAAGGTTACAAGATCAAGTGAGCATATATGGCAGCTGCTCCCTGGTGCATGTGCCACTGCGTGAGACCTCAGGGCTTCAGGCTTGGCAAGAGGCATGGTGTCTGGTCGACTCCTAGTAGATGGGCTCGGTACTAGATCCTACTTAGTGAACGGTGCTATGAGTTGTGGGCTCTGAAGCGTGTAGGCAATATTTGCCCAAATCCTGCGAGGGCCAGAACCAAATTTGACCCCAACTAAGCTCCATCCATGCTAAGGCCTTGTACAATACAAGACGCTTAGTGGAGGTGCTTGAAAAAATAAAGCATTAATTTTTTAAGCACCGATGCTTAGTTGTAGAGAGTAGATGTTTAATTAAGCGTTTCTTCGGTAGAAATAGCCACTGGTGTTTTAGGAAAACTCGGTATATTTTCTAAGCACCTCCCTATCCTAAGTAACTAGCATTGTACATGGACTAAAAGCATCTACAACTAGGATTAGCTAACTTTGACCCCCAAACGTCCAAGGACATGCTCAGTCAGTGACTGGTTGTGTCAAATTTGAGCCTTTTTTTGTGCATGCATGCGACCATGTCCTCTACATCATTTTCAAATTGTCCGGTCAAATGCATGCATGCAACCACGTCCCTTACATCCTCCTCGAATTGTCCATTTTGATCCTGTAGCCATTAAACCATCTAAAACCTGTTAATGGATAGGGTAGTGCTTAAAGATTGATCATGTGACTAACTAGTTCCCCTGCCTTCCTCGTGGAATGCTATTAATTTTTTTGACCAAGTTCTCTAGATATAAGATTTTGCATGGAACGATCAAGATTAAGCTAGACATCAGTTTTATTATTGCTCGCTGTTAGAAAGCTGATGGGGTTCATTGTTAATTTGCAATTTAGAACATTAAATAAACCCACTAATTATCATGTGGATCGTGTTATATCTCTGAGTGTTTATCTGAGACCATCAGGAGTAATCAGTGAGCGAGGCTAACATGATCGTCTTGGTCGCACCATCCATGGTACATCGTACTACTACAAAATAGGTCTGATGGCCTGGTACAGTTGAGATTAATTTAACAATTAGCTAATGACACATCCAGTATAATTACGAAAATATTACATCTCAGTACATGCTTTGGACAGGTAGCAATTAAAGGATTGACTAGACCACACGAGGTAAAAGGCTACGGTTGGTCTAGCACACGCATGAATGCCCAACGACATGACGCTGGCGCATGTTAGGTCCTAGCTAACGCTTGTTAACACTAGTGTGTACCCTGTAAGCAGCATCATTAAGCTTAAATACACTCCAGTGCAGTTGCGGAGCTTCCTTAGGGCCAACCTGGGCCATGGCCCCCCTGCTTGTGTAGATTTCTTATAATATTAGCACATAATTAGACAGGAATGATGGTGTTTTGCCCAATCTTTGATTGAATAGCCCCTCCTACATGGATTAGCCCCTCCTATAATCCTGATCAAGCTCCGCCACTGCTCCAGTGGTATGATTTTGTCTCTGTGGTAAGTACGCCGCTGTATCATGTCAAATGGGAAAAAGATGTTGACGCCTGGAAACCTCTAGTTTTTCACACTGCCATCTAACCGTGCCGCGTTTTTGTTCGTGCAGAGATCGAAAACCTCTTGGAGTCTGGGCGAGCTTAATCAATTCAATGATTAAAAAGAGTCCGCTGGCCGGTTATGCTCCACGTCCGCGTTTAATTGAACTAGTGGCCAGCCGGGCGAGCCGGGATTCCATCATCCATACCGCCAGTCAGGGTACCCGGTACCGGGCTGCCATGCTACTATGCATAGGCATGCAGCGACAGTGAGCTCTGCCGGTGTGCGTACGGTTCCGAGCCTAGATTCGGTTGCTTGTGGTGGTACCTCATACAGTTTACTTTCTCCGTTCCTAAATATAAGTCAATATGAACCACATATGGATGTATATAGCTGCATGTTAAGTATAAATTCATTCATTTTGCTTCGTATGTAGTCCACCTAATGAAATCCCTACAAAGACTTATATTTAAGAACGGAGGGAGTAGTTGGCAAGCATCCGGATTTATTAGACCTCATAGTATTTTGAGTCAGCCTTTGATTACTCATATGACTAATACAATATAAAATATATGCTAAAAAAATTTAACTGATAGATTTGTATTTGATAGAGCTTTCCGACGATATAATTTTGAGGATATATTGTTTATATTTTAATAGTTAAATTTGTTGATCAAAATTTAGCAAAATAAGAAGGGGTCCGGTAAACCGGGACGGAGGAAGTACCGCTTATAATACTCCCATTACAGGCTCTAAGGCACAAAAAAATCAAATACGCTACCGAATACACTAACACGCGAATCAATATGGTGGGATACCTCGATTTCAGCCTACCTCATGCTCGGCCCCGTGGATATTTTTCCTCATATGGTGTCCCTATTGCGAAAAATGCCAATGGAGGCCGAGCTCTCAAAGGCCTCTTATATATGCAGGGTCGACGAGGAGAGATGGAGAGAGCCTGCAGATGGCAAAGCTCGAAGGCGGCAGCAAGGGCAAGGATGTGGATGAAGCCATGGAGAGGTGGCACGACCGTTCCTTGGGCCACCGGCTGTACGACGCCTTCACCGTAGCCGGCCTCCGTGTCGAGGCCATCGAACCCGGCCGCCTCCTCTGCTCCTTCATGGTCCCTCCTCGCCTCACGTCGGTACGTACATAGCCAACCATCCCGGCCGTGCTCACGGGAGAGTACTGTATGTAGGAGCGTTGAACTGAACAGTGTATATATACCTGTGTGTGCACGTCCGGCGCAATCGAAGAGCGCCAGCAACCGTATGCACGGAGGCGCGGTGGCGTCGCTGGTGGACCTGGTGGGGTCTGCGGTGATCTTCGCCGGCGGCTCGCCGGTGACGGGGGTCTCGCTGGATATCACCATCTCCTACCTGGGCGCCGCCCGTGCAAACGTAGGATACGAGTATATGTCTTCCCGTACTATATAGTCTTCCTTGTGAGTTGGGACTTAGGAGTTAGGACTAACAAACGGAGCCATGCTGCATCCATGTAGGAGGAGATCGAGGTAGAGGCTCGGGTCCTCGGCATCGGCGACAAGACGGGGTGCGTGACCGTGGAGGTGAGGAGGAAGGACACCGGCCAGGTGCTCGCGCACGGCCGCCACACCAAGTATCTCGCCAACGTCTCCAGTAAACTCTGAGGGTCCTCCCTATCATGGAAGGGCCACAGTGTACACGCATAAAACGGTTGTCTTTGCTAGCAAACTATATGTTGATGAGAGAGGTTATTCTACCAAGCACGGGATATTCCATGCGTGGATTAATCGCTCGTCATTGCTGTCATATTCGTGCTAGTGGTTATCAAAATTGATCTCGTTTCAAAATGTTTTGTTTGTTTGTTCCTGCAAAAAAAAATGTTTTGTTTGGCTTTTTTTTCAACATGTATCATCACGTTTCATTGTGTATCAATAAAAAGAATGCACTTATTCTGGATAGCTTCGCTGATACACGATGCCACGGTGAAACATTAAGACACATTTTCGAACGAGCAAAAAACACCAATGTAATGCCTTGAAACAAGATAAATTCTAAAAAGAGTGAAAAAAGTAGCATGAATCTCAAATGAACCACATACAGTGAATCCATGCTCGGGATTCCCATGTGTGTTAGAATAAAAGTCATTATATAGTGCATCGGATATCACGTGCATGGATCCACCGTTCATGATTACTTTGACAGTAGAATGCCTTTTTCTCCTAGTATGTTGATGCAACGAATACAAAATATGTATGTATGTATGTATGTACAGTATGTGCTAATAAATAAAGGACGCGACTCAAGCTCGCATGACCAATCCTGGACCATCAGGTGTCGCTGTGATCCACCTCAGCATGGAGTCTGGTCAGATGGTGAGCAGCGTGTCGCGTGGAAAACTGTTTTGCTGGTATATGCGCTATACAATTTCTGTAATTAAAAGGAGTGCCGTGTAAAAGAAGTACTATATGGCATGCTGACCTACTCATCTATATGAAAACCTGATTTACCTTAGCATGAAAGTGTGAAAAGTGATTTACGTGATAATAGTCTTAATGTTGTCTATTGAGAACAGTTACACTTAAAGCAAAACAAGAACCTCGAGATCCTTAAGACCTCAAGAGTCCTTATAAGTGAGAACTCGGCCTTGGCACAGCGGTAGACAGCAAAAAGGTTTCATGTCGCCAGCCTGCGTTCAAAGTCAGTTTCTCCAATATGAAAATAAGGCAGGGTGGCTTTTAATTTCCCTCTGTTCTCATCCTTTTTTTAAGCGTTCTTAAGTATGAGCCGGTGTAATTTGCTTTCCAGAAAAACAACAAGACATGATATCAGACAAATATGACTGCACATTAATCTTATTTAATACTTATACATGTGTTTACTATTCTTGAGGAGTCTAAAAATTTACAGGTGTTAGTCAATTCCCAGGCGCACAGGGATGTTTCTAGAAGTCCATTGTCAGAAAAGGGTGTGTGTAGGTTCACTAGTGTCAGAATTCTTGTTGCCGGATGGGTCATGGAATGAGGAAAGAATTAGACAATATTTCATACGTGCAGATGTGGAACTTAATCCTTGGTATCCGACCATCTTGTCGTTTAGAGGCAGATTTCATTGCGTGGCATCCAACGAAAGATGATGTGGTTGAGGAATTATTGAGAGAGCAAGGGGGGCCGGGGTCCAGCACAAGGCCGAGGGGTGATAGACCTATACTATTTTTGAAAACGGGCGTCGACACGTTGGCTGGGCAGCTGGGTTTGCTGCCAGCTCATCCGGGTTCGAGTCTCTGCTCTTACACGCGGTGCTCGTGGAGTTTCTCCTATAAATAAAAGCCAACGAGGGTTAGCCTTTGGGTTGGTCTCATTTTTTTAGACCTATACTGAATATGTTCTGGAAGATTAATGTGCCACCAAAGAAGAAAATTTGTGCTTGGAAAATGTTGAAGGAAGGGTTGCCGACAAGGCCAACTAAAGAAGTCTCGCCACCTCGACACGATGGATGTCTGTGTGCGATGTGGTAGAGAAACTGAGGATGCGTTCCATGCAGATCAAGCACATGCGGTGTGGGAGGCCATGAGAGATGAATGGCAAATACCTGAACAAGATGAGCTGATCAATACTGGTCCGGAATGGGCGCTTGATCTTCTAGCCAGAGTTAATGAGAGAGTGCGGAGGTATGTGCTAATGATTATCTGGAAGAGATCAGGAACGATCAAGTACATGACAAAGCAGTGCCTCCTGTACACGTATCAAGGTCATTTCTGTCGAGCTACATGTGTTCGCTAGTTCAGGTGCAGAGTAAGGACGGCGGCGACCCTGTGAAGGGAAAAGGGATACTGGAAGGAAGCCTACAACAGTCAACAGCTAGCGAAGGAGAGGTATGCCAGTGCCCGTGCACAATGGCCACAGCCTGCTCTGGGGTGCCTTGCAATCACAGTTGATGGTACTTACTGTGACAAAGAGAAGAACGCAGGGACAAGTCTAGTGATCCGTGATTCAGCCGGTGACCCGATACTTTTTTTTTTTGAAAGGAGAAAAAAACCCTAGCCTCTGCATCAATCGATGCATGCAGCCATATTATTAAATAAAAACGTAACAAGGTCATGATGGTGACTTTATACTTGCGTCATGCAAATACTTGTCTAGGTGTAAGCAAGGGCGGATCTGGGCCCCAGCCGCCGGGCCCAGGCCCGGGGCGTGCCTTTTTTTTAGTTATTACCTAGGTATGTTTTCGAATTAGGCTCGGGGCTTAGCCCAACTAACAGCCAGGGCCCAGCCCAACACACTCACACACAGGCCTCGTCCAGGACTCCAACTCGCTCGATGCCCATCCCAATCGCAGATCTAGCGAGGCAACGAGCAGCAGGCAGCAGCCACGCATGCGCAGGCAGGTGCGTCCGCCACCGCCGCCCGCCACAGTCCGCCCGCCCCGTCGCCCGCGGCCCCGCGCCCCCCGGCCTCCACCGACCGCCGCTGACGCCTCACCCCGTCGCAGTCCTGGATCTGCCACTGGAGGGAGGTGCCGCCAGGACTGGGTGCCGCCACCGCGTGGAGACTGCGCCGGCGCGGACCGCCTCTGGCAGGACGAGGCGCTCGAGGCGCTCGAGGATTCGCAGTCTGGCCGTCGTCCTCTGGCGCCTGGCGGCTTGCTGCTCGCGCCCGGCCCCTTCCTGCCTTGCTGGCCCTGCTGCAGTGCTGCTGCTCCGCTGCTCGCCGGCTTCCCGGCTCGCCCGCTCTGCTCCGGCAAGGGCTCCGGCCTCTCCTGGTTCCTGGTCTGCTGGATTGGTATGGTAACGGCTGCTGTTGAATGTTGATAAATTTTTTTGAACATTTTTGATCTGCTGCTGCCTGCTGTATTTGAATGTGAAACTGAATGTTGTTGCTACAATGCTACTGTTAATATCAATTTCATAGCCGGTTCTTTGTGAATGTTGTTGTTGGCCTGTTGCTACTGTTAAAGTGTTAATACCAACTGATGAACTGAATATCAATTTCATTTCATTTTATAGAATAAAAGATGAAGAGGTATTTTTCATCCGTGGCAGCAACAGAAGTGTCTACACCCGGGGTTTTAGCCGGAGGAAATGAAGGGGCTGAGAGGAGTGAAGCAACTCCAGAAAATGAAACCAATGCAGAAATGGGACCACCGCCTTTGACTTCCAACAACCCGCCTTCAATCTCAACTCGAGAAAGTAATATTCCAGATTCTGCTCGTGGTCAACTGAGGGAATGTGATATTCAACCTGATCCTGGTCTTAGGAAACCTATTGAAAGCTTAGATCCGGACATTAGAGATGTCGCTAGAAGGATGTATGTAAATATGGGTCCATGCCAACCAACTGGGCATAAATTTAAAAAAGAAACTAGAGGAACATCTTTGAAAAAGAGATCCTTTCAAGCTAAATGGTTTGGGAAGCATTCCGATTGGTTGGAATATAGTGTTGCTAAGGAGGCGGCCTTTTGTTTCTATTGCTTTCTTTTTAAGCAACCTAGAGCAGAAAAGTATGGTATTGAGGCATTCACAACAGTAGGGTTTAAAAATTGGAAGGATGGACTTAGTATTATTGATACACATGTTGGTAAATATGATAGTGCTCACAATAGAGCTAGACAACAATATGTGGCATTCAAAAATCAAAGGCAATCCATGGTAAATGTGCTCGATCGTGGCACTAAAAAGAGTGAAGAAGAATATAGAGCTCGACTTGTCATTAGTTTGGGTGTTATCAGATTTCTTCTATTACAAGCTCTTGCTTTTCGTGGTCATGATGAGAGATCGAGCTCAAAGAATAGGGGGGATTTTTTGGAGATGATGAGTTGGTACAGGGAGACGGATTCAAATGCTAAGACTTTGCTTGATAGTGCGGGCGGGAACCATTTGATGACTTCACATGGGATACAATTGCAACTGTGTCAAGCTTGTACAGAAGAGACCACCAAAGTAATTATTGATGACATTGAAGATATAAATTTTTCTTTACTTGTTGATGAGTCCAGAGATGCATCAATAAAGATGCAAATGGCTATGGTTTTTCTCGTGACAAATATTTTTTTTGGGCCCGGGGCTTGCTCCAATCCTGGATCCGTCACTGGGTGTAAGCGTCCTCTGGAAGCAGAACTTATGGCGCGTAGATATGCTGCTGGTCCGGTTGTCCTCCAAACGGACTGTTTAAACCTAATCAAGCTGATTAAGGAAACGAAGCCGGACAGATCTTGCTTGGGACACCTGATACAAGAGTTGAGAAAACTTAGGAGAGGGAGCTTACTATTATGAAAGTAGATAGAATTCAGAATAGGGCTGCAGATTTTCTAGCTAAATTTTCGCGCTCGGAGCATCAAACCGACTTTTTTTTGAGACAACCTCGCATGCTTTATTCATTCTCCATAATGTTGAAAGGTACAAAATCAAGCTCTCCGGGCTGGCCCAACCACACATGACGGCCCAAACCCAGAGACAAAGCATATTTAGCGAGATTGTGAGCCTCGAAATTCGAGCTCCTAAACTCATGAACTACTTTACATGACATAAAAGAGTTAGCACGATGTATTATTTCATGCACTATAGCTCCATTCTCAGACTACGAGCTCTTGTGAACATCCTCAACCACCCGCTTGCAGTCCGATGCAATCTGAATTTTGTTTTCATAAAGATCCTCTGCCAAAGCTTGCCC